GAACCTGGTGCTGCAGCAGCTGTGGGCGGTAGCCGGAAGAAAAAAGGAGAGCCACAACAGGTCAAAACGACGCAACACTCACGAGATCCATAGAAGACGTCAGTATGAAGATGGTGGAGAAGCTGACAACATCTCAGGCCAACCAGCAAACCTTCGTGTCTGGCATGCTCCAGCAGTAACGGGAGCACTCGCAGTTGCTTGTGCAAAGCCAGATGACATTCTTGAAGCAGCTATTTGATAGTGACAAATAATACTCTACATCTTTCTCTCTCTCTCTCTCTCTCTCTCTCTCTCTCTCTCTCTCTCTCCCTTTGTCTCTCTGTCTCTCTGTCTCTCTCTCTGTCTCTCTGTCTCTCTGTCTCTGTCTCTGTCTCTGTCTCTGTCTCTGTCTCTGTCTCTCTCTCTCTCTCTCTCTCTGCCTCTGTCTGTCTGTCTGTCTGTCTCTCTCTCTCTCTCTGGCCAATTCTTCAAATTGTCTCATCGTGCAATGCAGCTGTTTGCCAACCGGAAACAGGATGGTGTCAGCAGACACAGGGCCTACCAACGAGTCAACTAAAGTCCATTCATCGGAAACTGGCCCGCTGGCTTTTGAAAGTCGGATTTGGGCCGAATTGAGGATCAAAAACCCACTTTAAATCTCAAAAATCTGGGTTTGGGATCTGCTTCTCCGTACAATTTGCCATGGCATACCTGTCTTAATTTTGTAAAACCTGTAACTGGCTGAATTTCTATTTCCCTGTTCTTGGACTTTTCTGGTCTCAAATGTGGCAAGGAGTAATTGCACAGGTCACACAATGCAGGATGTACTGTTGTTTTCACGATATCTACAACTATGTGAGAGAGACACCAAAAAGTTAGGGTGCCAGTTTCCAATGAATGGACTGTAGGTCGTTGACAATGACACCAGCAATGGTCGTGCTGATATGGAATAGAGCGCTGATTTCTGATAGTGCTTCTCCCTGACAGAGGTGGTACAGGAGAACAGCCAAGCGTTTGCCAGAAGGAATAGTCCGTCGCAAGCCCTCTCTTGAATAGTGCCCCCCCCCCCCCGGTCTTGTAACCAAGCCCATGTGCAAGTTTGGTGTTCTTTTGCTAATGTTCTTGGCCATTGCTTTGCACTGGTGTTTTCAGGAACAAAATCGCAGGTCTTGTTCCCGTTTCTGTGGAGTCGTGAGCGTTTACAGTACACTTTAGGCTCTGTTTTTCTTTGTTTTATGCTGGATGACGCAAATGTACCAGCAATGAAAAACTAGTGCCCTCTCTTGAATACTGCCCCATCAGTGATGAACATTGAAAAAATAGTGCCCCAGGGGCACTAATCGCGCGAGTACGGTACTAATGTTCAAATACATGCACTAGGATAATCTGATAGGCAGGTGTTAGTGCTGGCCACAACAAGAAAACAAGACTAGCCAAGAACATACAGTAAGGCTCCCCTAATCCGGGCCGGTTGGGACGAACACTTCCCGCAACTGATAACATATATTTTGTCACACTTAGGGGCCGTCCGGGATTACCAATTGTTTTTACAAAACGAAAAGTTTTAGTATTTTTCAGCCCCCACCCGCCCACCTTTTCTGCAGGTAAAACGAATTCCAATCAAACATTGATGTCAATTTTCGACACCCAGAAGTAATTGGGCATTCTCCATCTGCATTCAATAATTATTTTCAAAACGAAACTCCATCAAACCCACCCACCCCCAAACGAAAACTTTTCGTTTTGAAAATATTATTGGTAACCTTGGACGGCCCCTTACTGCATGCAAGTAAACAATTTTTAGGCCATTCAATAGTTTTGGGGCCCGTTTTTCGGTTGAACAGCCCATTTTTGTGACTCTAGATGGGTCAGAAAGGTCCCCTGCAGATGGACATGCCCAGTAGATGGACATGCCCGGACTAGGGGCGTCTGGATAGGTTCATTTTATTTTTTACTGTACCTTATAAAATCCACGAAAGCCTTCCTCGCGATGTATGAGCTTCAGCGACGGTATAATACCACCGTACTTTGCCGTGTCCGGGCGCGACGGCTGCAGCTGGAGGAGGATTTTCAGTCGCTCTAACGGCGACACGCATGTGCGAGACACTGCGCCGGCACAGGCACCAGAGACAAGGTGCTTGCATGTCTCCCTGTACTTACTGAACGCCGACGGTGGCGGTGGCGATGACTGCTGATCATCTTTGGGCACTGTAACAACACAAACAGCCAACGTAGTACTTGAAGTACAGTGTTGCTCTACTCCTCTCACCACTCTACAGCCAATGTACTAGTAGGTAGCAACCAAGAAGACAATGGCAGCGGCAATGATAACAGTCGTACGGCATAGCGTACAGAGCAGCATACAGTTCTGCTATCATCACCGAAGTCGCTGCCAATACCTTGTACAGCATGTTGGCATGTATCACACGGGCTCTCTCATTCGAGCAAGTCCGTATGGAACGTTCAGATCCATTCCCCCTCACATCCAACCACAGGCGCTGCTTTTGTCTGGTTGTTGTGGATGAGTTCGCTCAGTAGGTTGTGAGTTGAGACCAACCCGTTGCCAGATAGGTTCACAACGACAGTCAGCATCATACTTCCAGCACAGTCACACAACACCACTGGGGACGCAGCGGGACCTCAGGATTGCGGCGTGCATGCTTCAAGTTCTTGGCAGTACGAGCACATGTACACGTTCTACCTTTCTTCTTCGATAAGAGTTGTATAATGATTACGTTTTCGTCATTGATGCTTCCACCATTATGGTGTGCATAAGGCATTTCAATGTGCCTTTTGCCTGCACCAGCCCAGGGAGAAGGCAGTGAAATAACATACATGTACTTGTGGAATGCTTATTGTAAAGAACCTAAAGCTGAGCTGCTGAGTGTTAAATTGCAATATTTTGCTCTTTGGTACAATTAGACTTCAGTACAGCAAAGCTGAGTCAACGAACAACTCACTTGATTAGTGCCAAGGTCCACAGAGCGTGGACAACCCTCTAAGCCCAAGAAAAGTTCACAAGCTCTTCGGCTGGTGCAGCTGCGAATAGGAAATCTACCCTTACTACTTGACACATAGAAAAAACTGATTACATGTACAGGCTCCAGTGACTTTGAAAAAGTACTCCACAGCAGGGCGCTCTTCAAAGCAAACGCGACGAGAGAGTTAAAAACTGGCAGAGCGCAAACAAGTCAGAGAAGGCTAGTGGCTTACGAAAAATAAGCAAACGAGACTACTACATGGATGTAGTATGACAGGAAAACAACACTTGAAATCCACAAAGCAAATGGTCAAAAATTCGAATGAGAGCTTGCATCTTGCATACCTCGCACTGGCTATGTTGCATAATGACTACCGGTATACCGTATGTTGGATAACTCTGACACGTGAATGACGTAACTGCCCCGTTGTTGTCCTGGTTTTTCGAGGGGAGCCGGAGCTTCAGGACGCTTTCAAAATCAGTCCCTAGCGCAGCCTGACTCGACTCCTTGTGCATTTGATTTGTCACATTTTGTGTTTCAGAAAATTTCTGGTGCATGCTGTCAGTGATTATGTAGAGAGCCAATCGTATTTTTTCATGGCTCTACCGTCGCTGTTGTTCTCACCTGCCCGTCGATTTGCACCTCAATTCCGCCCATCAACATGCAACACGAGATTGCTTTTCAGATGCTGTACAAATATCCCAGACCCTAAGGAAAAGACGAGATCATTGATCAAATACGTCCCATCATCCATTGTACCCTATTGGAAATTGGCGCGCGTGGACAAGCCCATTGGGTCGTGGCTGTTGTTTATACCCGGAGCATGGAGCATAGCACTGGCAGCGCCTGCTGGAGGGCTTCCGGATGCGCGATTGCTGGCTTTGTTTGGCGTGGGAGCGCTCTGCATGCGTGGTGCTGGGTGCACGATCAATGACATGTGGGATGTGGAGTTTGATAAGAAGGTGCGTGATATGAACTCAAGCCTTTTAATCATATCAGGCACCTTGAAGACATATAGCCACCCCTAATTGGTGATTGTCACGCACCACTAGCTCGCGTGCACGCACCACACACACACACACCATTGGACCATTGGACGCCCATCGCCGGAGGCGATGATAGCGATGCTACAGCAGAAGCCATAACAGCTTGTGCTGGGATTCCACCATTCAACAGCTTGCAAGGCTGAAGAATTGACACACACACACACACACACACGCACACACACACACACACACACACACACATATGCACACAAAAACACATCCGCACACACACACACATACACACACACACACACACACACACACTCATTTACACACACACATATGCACACAAAAACACATCCGCACACACACCTTCACCACAACGATCATGGCAACAACAACGACCACCACACCGTCATATACCATATACGTCTTCCACAAGAGAAGCACGTAAATCTCCGGTGCACTGGTAATACACACTGATTTTCCTTTATAGTAACGGACAAAGCACACACTCTCTCTCTCTCTCTCTCTCTCTCACACACACACACACATACTTGTACTTGAACTTGTTGCTCACTGCCAAAACTGGTCACGTGGGTCTCCCCGGGAGAGGGGAGAGAAACTCAAAAGGAATCTTGGAAAGATGACTCAATTGGCTATTGAACCGCCCAACTGCCGACACCCCCTGAAATCCCCAAAACTCTGGGTGGACTTGAAAATGATCCCACTTATGGGCTCACCACACCTCAGTAAGTGGGTGAGGACAAGGTGCAGAAAAAGGATTGACGGCATCAGGGTATCCGTCCAGGGATCCAACTGCAGTTACCCCTGCCCCCAGCAAAGGTAATACTTGCTACTAGTGTGGGTGGCTAAATCAGAGTGGATCTGATAAGCTTCACTAGCACCATTGATTACACAAGAGTTAATTTAGCCAGAAGCAGTCCATGGTTAACAAGTATGTATACTTCAAATAGAAAGTATATGAACCCTGAAACCAACAAAGGTGGCAGGTACAACACACATACACACACACACACACTCCAGGCCTGGAGCTAGCTCCTGAGAGATGTTATCTCCGGTTGACTTATTTGCATGAACTCGTGTGCGTGTGTTTGTGCGTGTGTGTTGGGGGGAGGGCTGTATGCGTGTGTATGTGTGTGTGTGTGTGTGTGTGTGTGTGTGTGTGTGTGTGTGTGTGTGTGTGTGTGTGTGTGTGTGTGTGTGTGCATGTGTGTATGTGTATGCACAGGTGGAGAGAACGAAAACCAGGCCGATTGCCAGTGGCCAGGTATCGTATGGCCAGGCCACGGCCTTCTTGGCATTGCAGCTCAGCGGAGCACTAGCTGTGTTGCTCTCACTCAACTTCTACTGGTACGGTGGTGTGTGTGTGTGTGTGTGTGTGTGTGTGTGTGTGTGTGTGTGTTGCTGGTTGGCTTGCCAGAGTCAGAGATCTCTTAGATTACATCATGGTTCCTTGTGTGCACTGGAAGTACATTTAGTCTGCTGCTGTTCCTAGGTGAGCGAAACTGTACGTATTAGATAAAATAGGCTCAGCGGTGTCAGCGAAGTGTTTCTCTTCTTCTCTGTGTTTAGCTTTCCTCTCGGTGCCTTGGCCTTGCTGCCTGTTGCCATGTACCCTCTTGCCAAGCGCTTCACTGACTGGCCTCAAGCTGTCCTCGGTACGTCGACATGCACACGCCACTCGTGTCTTGTTTTACTATAGGGATTTTAATTAAAGGAAATAATTTTATGTCTGTTGATCAGCCAGAGCTTGAATTCAGAGCTACAAGAGACACTCTCTTTTCTTTGTTGCATAAAGCTTTGTCGTCAGACAGTGAGTGTCCGTTAACACAAACGATATAAAACTGTGTGGCCTGAAGATAGGCCGCCTTGCCTAAAAATTCAGGTATTGTATTTATTTCTTGATTGACAGGTGTGGCCTAGAGACCGTTAGCTAAGAGTTTTGTGAGGATGTATGGATATGCAAGTTTCTGTGCAACATACCATATTTTCCTTGTGCCGACACTGTTATCTTGTTCATCGTGCTCTTTGCAGGTTTGACATTCAACTGGGGTGCTATCATGGGCTGGGCTGCTGTGCATGGCTCACTAGACCTGGGTGTTGTAGTACCGCTCTATATAGCCTGTATCAACTGGACACTGGCCTATGACACCATCTACGCCCATCAGGTACATGATTGTTGCTTCTGGCTGCTAGCATTACACGACATGATCTCGCGGAGTTTGATGGCGAGTACATGTGTACCTGAGCACTGCATACTGTAGTGTACGCTTGTCTTCATCTTTTCTTTACTTTGTGTGCCTGTCTCTCTGCCTCTTTCTGTGTGTGTGTGTGTGTGTGTGTGTGTGTGTGTGTGTGTGTGTGTGTGTGTGTGTCTCTCTCTCTCTCTCTATCCATCTATCTATCTCTCTGTCTCTGTCTCTGTCTCTCTCTCTGTCTCTCTCTCTCTCTCTCTCTCTCTCTCTCTGTCTCTCTCTCTCTCTCTGTCTCTCTCTGTCTCTCTCTCTGTCTCTCTCTCTCTCTGTCTCTCTCTCTGTCTCTCTCTCTCTCTCTCTCTCTCTCTCTCTCTCTCTCTCTCTCTCTCTCTTTTCTTCTTCTTTTTTTCCCTCTCTCTTTCTCTTTCTCTTTCTTCCTTGTTTGTATTTGGTTGTAGGATAAGAAAGATGACATCAATGTTGGTGTGCGCTCGACCGCCCTGCTGTTTGGGGATAGGACACGCGGTGTGTTGACTAGCTTTGCACTGAGCATGGCTGGACTGCTGTCGCTGGCTGGCTACAACGCTGCACTGACTGCACCCTACTATGCAGCAGTTGCATTGGCTTACGTGCACCTGCAGCACCAGGTGAGCCACCTATCTGCCTGTCACCAGCAAGTGTCCCATGTGGGCTTCTGGGAACAAAATTGTGTTTTTGACGCTAAATAAGGTTTATCGTTTTAGTTTGGGTTTAATCGTTTTGACTCCTCTCGTTCATCGAGCAGCCAAATTCGTCACATCGCCACTAAAATGATTTTTCTTTAAAAAGAATGTTTAGATAGCCTTGCAGACACGATCTTGGGCGCGACAACTCATACGGTGATGTGTTATGCGTTCAACTTGCGACCAATGTCTAGAGATTTCTCTGTTGCTTGCATCCTTTTCAAACAAGGTTCTAAGTTTTGAAGATGTGATGTTCGTGCCGTATTTCTTCATTGCTGCATTTTGAATTTATGATTGTGTTTTGCAATCTAGGCCAGTAAGCCTGTGCCAAGCAACCACTTTATAACCTTATCACACGACGGTTCGTGCTCACGATTGCACAATGCAATGGTTCTACAATACACGGCAAGACACTTCACACGACGACTAGCTCTGCAGACACAGTGCACACAACAAAGTACACGATTGTCCAAGCCAGTTCATGAATTGCAGACACAGCGCATACAAGCCAGTTCATGAAGCGCGAAACCGAAATCGAAAACGCACAGCCAGGGGGTCAGGGTATTGCGGGCTACGGGCCTACGGCTCAGATTTCAAATAAATCGATGATCACCCTGGTGATCCTGTCGCACAGCCGAGAATCCGTGACATTCTCCCGTCGTGTGAAAGGGCTATTACTGAGTAATGGGTAGTGAGAGAATACCTGCCTTGAGAGACCACTTGTCTTATGAGACCAGTCATCTTATTACCGACACCAATAGTACATAACATAATTATGTACTCTTGCCAACAGCATACATTAGAACCTGTGTAGAAAGACCATCTGTTCAACATGGGATAGTCACTGAACATAGGTTACCCTGGCCTGTACGTGTTTCAGAAGTGTGATGTGGTTGCAATAATTCTGTTGTCCCGCTTGGGCTACTGATGTGAGTGTGTGTTTGTGTGTGTGTTTGTGCTTGGCCGTGCGTGCCGCTTCTAGATTAGCACGGTGGACTTGGACAAGCCAGCTGACTGTGGTGCCAAGTTCATGTCTAACCAGCAGATTGGGCTCATCCTCTTCATCGGTATTGTTCTCGGAACGCTGCTGAAAAAGCCAACAACAGCGGAATCTGACTGCTCACAGCGTCCGCGATCGACTATCCCAACAGAGTGATCTTGGTGCTGCTGTCTGAGAAATCTGCACGTTGCCCAAGGAACGGGAAATCTTTGCAGAGGAACTGGGTGATTGGGCTCACCTTTGCTGGATTGTTTTCACAACTTCTATCTCTGGCAGTGGATGTTGCCTTGCAGTATTAAACCATGGTATTAAACCGTGCTATTCTGCTATCCGGAGCGTAGTACGGTATCCAACCCAATGTCAGCTATACGCTACACAGTAAGTCAAGGGCAGTGACATTGTTCACTGTCATCACCTGCAGTGTGCCCTGTAGCACTGTGAGACTACCGACGGTGGACAGTCCACCAGCCTCCAGCAGTCGGAAGCTGGCGTGCTCCTCTTCGGTGACGTCAACTAGCTATGGGCGTGAGGAGCACTCTGCTGGGTTACGAGTGCTTGTCAGACCAAGACCAGCGGGTACTGGCACTGTTAGTTGTAATCTACTTCTTAAGTACTGCTGAGTGGATTCCCAGCTAACGCCAGCTGCAAGGCATTAGCTACCTTGCACCGAGGACTCTGTGTTTGGTCTCCACTGGCTTTGTTCAATCAAGTTACTGAACAACAAGTAACGTTACATGATCGTAGTGGTGTCAATATTGTTCCCAGCCACCACCGGCACCATCACCCCACCGGCTATGTGTAGTACACTGTAGCGATATGTGATGCGATAACAACTTGTGCCATGGTGCTGCTAGCACAATGCCAGCAACACCATGGCACTTTCTGCCTTTGCTTATTAGATGTACTTCGTACCAACCAATTGGAATATTATCTCTTCACAGGGTCCAGAAGAAAACTATCCTTGAGATCACCATCCAGCAGGGATGAATTTACTGTCATATTTTTGCATAGCAGTTTCTGCTATACGAAATCACAATTGTGTAGCAGTCTTTGATTTTGATTAGCCTCTTTTCTTTGAAGGTAGGGTATTTACCACATTGTCCTTCTTGAGAGTGATGCCTGAAAGCCCATTTGGAGAAAAAAACGACTGAAGCATACATGTGCACGCAGATTGAGAGTGCCTGCACCACATACCCCGCACAGCATGCATGTTACTTGACAGCACAGGCTAGGCATGGATAGCCTGTATGTATCGCAATTTTCTGCGAGTCACGGTGACTTTTGAGTAGCAGTAGATCGATTTTGCATCGCAAACTGCGATGCGATACAGGATAAATTCATCCCTGCGGGTCCAGCTATTTTTTTTCTTCTTTTTGTTTTATTCCCCATAGAATTCTGTCGACATGAATGCTGATGGTTGTGTACGGCTTCTTTTGCCACTGACGAGCTGGTTCCCTGCAGCATTCTGCTATTGTTCGTGATACATGAACACAGTCATTAGTTTCGGGACTCTGTGTTAGCCATCTTGAGCCGATCCACCGGCGGAGCTGCAAGAACTGGTTCATGCATGATCTGCTGTGAAACAATTCAATTCTTCTTTGATCAGGAAATACAGAACATGCAAACCGATTACTGGACAAGTGCAGAATGTCGTCATACCATGGACACCAGTAGTGGAACATGGGGAACTATGCCATGTGAACTGAACAAATACCATACACCATCATGCAGTCAAGGACAGCAGTGCATGCGGGCAATCAAATTACATGTACTTCAGAAGTACGACAGTATGCGACGGGGTGTGGTACAGGGGAGGCAACAACATGAATAGATTGCTGGTCGAACTGCGGGATGCCCGTTTCTACTTCTGTTTCCCCGGTCATTTGTAATATCAGACTCGACACGGCATACCGCTGATGAGGAGTCAAGAAGGAAAGCCAGAGAGTAACGACGTAGTCATGGCAAGCCAGAAAGTAACGACGTAGTCATGGCAAGCCAGAGAGTAACGACGTAGTCATGGCAAGCCAGAGAGTAACGACGTAGTCATGGCAAGCCAGAGAGTAACGACGTAGTCATGGCAAGCCAGAGAGTAACGACGTAGTCATGGCAAGCCAGAGAGTAACGACGTAGTCATGGCAAGCCAGAGAGTCACGACGTGGTCATGGCAAGCCAGAGAGTAACGACGTAGTCATGGCTTGGAGAGTAACGACGTAGTCATGGCAAGCCAACGCTGGACATCATGTGCTTCTTGTAAGCGATCGCAGATCAATTGATGCACCTAAGACCGGAGCAAATCGCAGAAGAGTCCCCGTGCACGCCAGCACATACTGGACTGGATACGATCAGAGTAATGCGCGCTAGACACAACTCGTCAGAGATGCTGTAGCAGACAGCGATAGAATGAACTCTTGAACTCTCCATCTCCATTGGACTCCATCTCCTTAGTCGATTTTTTCCTTGGGCATGATAATTATATAGCAAGCATGGAAGTTAGTCGAGTAACTTGTCCAATTCCATACACTTCACTCTCGTTTTGGCCATGTGCATCTTTCGCAAAGAAGCGCATGGCACGGATTTCCTCCACGCTCATCGTGTTGTTGCGCGGGTTGTATTCGGCCTCACAGTGCTGCTAACCTGGTGCCGCCGTTCCATTTGCCTGGCATCTTCTTCGTCGGCCATTCGCTGGTACTCCGGCGGCCACAGACTCTTGTCCAGTCCCATCATCATGGACTTATACAGCATCTTGGCCTGCTTCTCTTCCTTCTTCTTGCGCTGAGCGCGATCTTCTTTCATGCGATTCTCGCGACGATCGTTGATGGTGTCCATTGCTCGGGCTCTCTCACGGAACACATCAAACTCGGTCAGAGTTCGAACTCGTTCCTTGGATTTGAACATGCTGAGGCCCAGGTAGGTTGTGTTAGCTTCTTCATCAGTCTGTGAGTCCTTGTTCGTCTTGCCATCTTTATCCCTGCCAGGAAAAGCGAGTTGTCGCACTTCGGCAGCTGTGTATTCAGGCTCGGTGCCGCTGTCTTTGTCACGTGCTGCGATTCTCTGCTGCTTCTTTGCAGTCGCTTCTCGGTGCTCATTGATTTGTCGAATGTGGTCGGGATTGAACAGCAGATAGTCGTAGCGCCGTATTGGCTTGCGTGCCTGTACGGGTTTGGCCAGGCGTGTCATGTACGCCATCTGCCCTCTGTGCGTCCTCGTAGGGCGGTCTAGTACTCGGGGCACCCGTTCCAGCTGCTCTTCTATCTCCAGCCTCCTCATCTTATCGGCAAATTCCATGTCCCTGTGGAGCCATTTAGGCACCAATTTTTTATTGGTAAACTGCGAAAGCAACGCAGCTTTCAGTTTCTCTCTGGCTTTCTGCGCCTGCTCCTCTTCAACGGTCACCTTTCTCGGCAACGGCTTTGGTCCACCTTTGTTCTTGTACCATTCATCGTACCGCAAGTTCATCATGACACTGTATGAGTCGAGCTGCGACGCTGTGAGTCCCCTTTGCGCCGCACGCATCTGCTTGCACTCCTTGTCAGTGAGTGTCTTTGGTTCGGTGACGTTGCCACAGTTGAGCTTCATGCCCATCTTCTCTGCCAGTTCTATGGTGGCCGGGTCAAGCTTGACGCTGCGAAGGCGCTGGCGTCTTGACTGAGTCAAGCGTGCCACGATGGAGTATTCACTCCCGCCACTTGCAGTTCTGATCTTGCCACTGGCAGTTCTGACCTGGCCGCTGCCTTTCCTCTGCTCTTCCTCTGCCTGTTTACCATGGCCATGACTTGTCTGCACCTGGTCAGTGCTGGTCTCTGGCTGATGCGTTGCACTTGCAGTCGATGCTGAACGAGCAGCAGCGGTAGCAGCAGCAGCAGCAACTTCAGAAGCAGTTGGAATATCTACGTCGGCCCACTCAGTGTCTATATCACTAGATGCCGCTGGAGTGATCCGTGGAAAGGCCTCATCAGTGCTGGTATCCATGCTCACGTTGATCCTCACCGTTTTCTTTTTCCTTTCGCTCGCACGGAGTTCTCCAGCCGTGTCGACATTCGGCGCTTCCGGAGACCTCCGGCGCTGTCCCGACGTCGTCGTCGATGCAGAAGTTTGGTGGAGTGCTTCGGGCTCATCAGCACTCGTCGTGCCAGTATTCGCTTCACTTGCCGGGGAGCGTCCCGCAGAGTGCTCGTGAATACGATGCGCCCCACTAGAACTTGAGATTAGCCGGCTCTGCCTCCGCCGTTTCCTCTCGCTCTGCCGAGTCGCCAAATACGCATCCTCATTCCCTCCGTCTGCAGGTGATTCCTCAGAGTCAGAGCTGTGAACAATCGGACCGGCCAGGCGAGAACTCTGCCTTCGGTTTTGTCGAGGCGCGACCGTCGACTGGAACTGGTCTGGACTACTACCGGTTGGTGAAGACTCCTGGCTGGATTGGCTAGATTCGTCCGTCGTGCCTTCGTTCATGATTTCCCGATACCTGGGCTTCCTCCGCACTAGATGACTAGGAACCTCCGAGCCTTGGCACCTTCGCAGTTCGTCTATTTCTCTCTGTAGTATTTCCTGTCTCGCGCTAGGGGTTCTCGACCAACTGTCTGGATCCATACCTGCCGATTGTTGCCAATCAGGTT